GGCCAAAACCCAGGGGCCATCAGGAGGTCCAATAGCAGGGCCAGAACTCCAGAAGCCCTCCCACTGTTTTCCCCCAAGCACCAGGAATACAGAGCATCACTGCCCCAGACAGAGTGTTCCATCTTTGCCTTGTGGCTAATAGACACTCATGGACCTCTGCTCTGAGGAACCTAAGAGAAGTCATGTTGGACCAGGCCAGTGGCCCATCCAGTCCAACGCTCTGTGTCACACATTGGCCAAAACCCAGGGGCCATCAGGAGGTCCAATAGCAGGGCCAGAACTCCAGAAGCCCTCCCACTGTTTTCCCCCAAGCACCAGGAATACAGAGCATCACTGCCCCAGACAGAGTGTTCCATCTTTACCTTGTGGCTAATAGACACTCATGGACCTCTGCTCTGAGGAACCTAAGAGAAGTCATGTTGGACCAGGCCAGTGGCCCATCCAGTCCAACGCTCTGTGTCACACAGTGGCCAAAACCCAGGGGCCATCAGGAGGTCCAATAGCAGGGCCAGAACTCCAGAAGCCCTCCCACTGTTTTCCCCCAAGCACCAGGAATACAGAGCATCACTGCCCCAGACAGAGTGTTCCATCTTTACCTTGTGGCTAATAGACACTCATGGACCTCTGCTCTGAGGAACCTAAGAGAAGTCATGTTGGACCAGGCCAGTGGCCCATCCAGTCCAACGCTCTGTGTCACACATTGGCCAAAACCCAGGGGCCATCAGGAGGTCCAATAGCAGGGCCAGAACTCCAGAAGCCCTCCCACTGTTTTCCCCCAAGCACCAGGAATACAGAGCATCACTGCCCCAGACAGAGTGTTCCATCTTTGCCTTGTGGCTAATAGACACTCATGGACCTCTGCTCTGTTATAATCCCAATGAGGTAGGAAGAGCTAGATTGCCAGCCTCTAGGTGAATCCTGGAGCTCTCCCAGAATTACAGCTGTTTTCCAGACTACAGAAATCAGTACTCTTGGAGAAAATGGCTGCTTTGGAGGGTAGACTTTATGACATTATGCCTCGTTGAGGTCTCTCCCTTCCCAAACCCCACCCTCCACTGGCTCTACCACCAAATCTTCAGGAATTTACCGACCCAGAGTTGGCAACCCTAGGACAGCCTTTGCATGCCGTGAAGGTCCCAGGTTCAATCCCTGGCACTTCCAGTTAAAAGGATAAGGTAGTAGTTGTTGTGAAAGAGCTGCACCTGAGACTCCAGAGCCACTACCAGTCAGAGTAGACAATACTGACCTTGATGGGCCAGTGCTGTGACTCAGTAGGAGGCAACCTTCCATATTCATAAGTGTACTGAATAACTGTAGTCAGTTGCAGACTTTTGTATCCTTCTTTGGCTGTTCAATCCATTGTGGTAATTTACAGGTCTCTTTTTGTAGAAAAAGCCCAGCAGGAACTCATTAGCATAATAGGCCACACCCAACAGCAGAAACTCATTAGCATATTAGGCCACACCCATGACAGCAGAGCACATTAGCATATTAGGCCGCACCCCCATGTTACCAGAAGTGTGGTCATCCAGCCACACCCACCTTTTGCTTCTTATTCTGTTTACCTTGCTTGTGGTCAAAACCCAGGGCTTTTTTTGGTAGCAGGAACCCCTTTGCATGTTAGGCCACACACCCCTAATGTAGCCAATCCTAATGAGTTCCTGCTGTTGGGTGTGGCCTATTATGCTAATGGGTTCCTGCTGGGCGTGGCCACCTCAGGAGCCAGCCGGAACTCCGTTCCTGTGCGTTCCTGTCCAAAAATAGACCTGGTGGTAAATCAGAATGACCTGGTTTTAAAGCTTGGTCAAATGTTCCATCTGTCCCCGTTTATCAGGAAGAATCTCTGCTTCCTGGTCCCTGGACCCGTTCAATCAGAATTTCAACATCACATGTCATTTCCCACTTTTAAGTATCCAGGGGGGAGAACTTGGAATGGGCCTCTCTACGACCTTTGGATAGCATTCCAGTGGTAGGATAGAACTGCAGGAAAAAAGACTAGGGGCCTTTGTTTACAATTAATTTTGTATGCTATTTTTTTTTTAGTTTCATCCTTGGATACATTTCAGACTTATCTAGCAAAAAAGGTTAAAGTACAAAGATCTTTGTTGGCCTACCGTAGTTCTGTCAAAACTATTTTTTGTTCTGAAGGGCACCTGGTGGCTGTCTTGAACTCTTTTAAGAGCCCTTGATCTGGTGACTTTTCCTCCTCATGGTGGGATTTATTGCCTTTATGATTGACAGGTAGGGATGCCAGCCTCCGAGTGGGACCTGGGGATCCCCTGGAATTACTGCTGATCTCCAGACTACAGAATACAGAAAATAGATGCTTTTGAGGGTAGACTCTCTGGCATTGTGCCCCACCGAGGTCCCTGTCCTTCCCAGGCTCCACCCCCAAATCTCCAGGCGTTTCCCAATCCGGATCTGCCCCCCCACTGGCCAGGGGGGTACCTGACAACCCTAATCCTGTTCCTCTGCCTCTATTTGCTTGCTCTTTACCTGTTCATGAGTTTAAAAGAATTGCATTATCATGTAAGTTTATATTAACCCCCCTCCTTTCATCTGTAAGCAGGGCTATTTTGGGGCAGGAGCGCACAGGAACGGAGTTCCGGGTGGGTCCCGAGTTGGCCACACCCAGCAGGAACTCATTAGCATAATAGGCCACACCTAACAGCAGAAACTCATTAGGATTGGCTACCTTAGGGGTGTGTGGCCTAACATGCAAAGGAGTTCCGGCTACAAAAATAGCCCTGGGTTTTGACAACAAAGTAAACAGAATAAGAAGCAAAAGGTGGGTGTGGCTGGATGACCACACTTCTGGTAACATGGGGATGCGGCCTAATATGCTAATGAGCTGTGCTGTCAGGGGTGTGGCTTAATATGCTAATGTGTTTCTGCTGTTGGGTGTGGCCTGTTATGCTAATGAGTTCCTGCTGGGCTTTTTCTACAAAAAAAAGCCCTGTCTGCATCCCTGAATACTAATCTAGCGGAAAGATGCGGTAGGAATTTTCTTAATCAGTATGCGTTTCTTTTATTTCTTAGGTCAACTGAACTATCTCAAAGTACTGGAATTTGCGCTTTCCTCTCAAAAGCAGCCTTAGCATTAGACCTCACAAAGCTGAGGGATACTGTCGCCCAAAAATGCCTCGAGGAGGTGACAGCTGAGATTCGTCGAGAATTGGATGCCTTAGAAAATGTCAGGCTTAATATTGCAATCACTGGGGCCGCAGGTACTGGTAAATCATCCTTCGTCAATGCCCTGAGGGGCATGACTGATTATGAAGAAGGTGCAGCCCGGCCTGGAGTGATGCAGACAACTATGGATGCCCATGGGTATCCTCATCCCTTATTTCCCAATGTAACTTTATGGGATCTACCAGGAATTGGGACACCTGAATTTACACCAGAGAATTACCTAGAGAAGGTCAATTTTAGCCAATATGATTTCTTCATACTAGTTTCCTCCGAACGCTTCACTGTGAACGATGCCATGCTGGCTGGAGAAATTCAGAAAAGGGAGAGAAAGTTCTACTATGTGCGTTCCAAAATGGATGCCAGTATGGCTTCGGAAGCTATGAACCCAGACTTCGATATGGACAAAACCATTGAGAATATAAGGGACTATTGCTGCAAGAATTTGATAAAGGCAGGAGAGACTTCTCCAAGGGTTTTTCTCATCTCCAGGCGTGATTTGAACATGTATGATTTCCCACTCTTGCAAGAGGTTTTGGAAAATGACCTGGATGATCTCAAGAAACATGCTTTTGTTGCATCTCTGCCCGTTTTCTCAAGAAAAATCCTGACAAAGAAAAAGGCTGCTATGGAGGACCTTATATGGAAAGTAGCCACTACATCTTGTAGTATTTCAATGATTCCTGTCCCAGGACTCTCTGTTGTTTGTGATTCTAACATCTTGGTGGCGACAATGAAACTCTTCTATAAGGTCTTTGGCTTGGATGAGGATTCCCTCCACAGAGTTGCAAAACTGGTTGGCAAAAATTACGACGTACTGAAATCTGCTATCAAAAAATCTCCACTATCCAGCGAGATCACTCCAGAATTTGTCAACCGTCTTTTAGCCAAGTCATGGCTGTGTTCATCTGTGATGACAATACAAATGGTCTTGAATTTTATACCTCTGTTGGGCTTTCTGGTTGGTGGAGCCAGTTCTTTTATTACTACGTTCTACATGCTGAAGAATTTCCTGCGAGACATAGTGGAAGATGCGGAGACTGTCCGGGCAAAAGCCACTGAGCCTTGACCATGATGATATCATCAAATAAAGATCCAAGGCACCAACTTGGAAGATGAGTTCCAGGCACAAGATGTATGAATTGTACACAGGACTACCGCTCAAGCATGAGAAAGGAAGGTTTGAATTTCTGGTTCAGTGTTTATTTCCCCCCTTAAGAACATAAGAAGAGCCTGCTAGAGGAGACCAGTGATCCGGCTAGTCCAGCATCCTGTTTCACACAGCAGCCAACCAGCTGCGCTGGAGGGCCAACCACAGGGCATAGGGGCCAAGGCCTTCTCCTGATGCTGCCTCCCAGCACTGGTATTCAGAGGTTTACTGCCTCTGGTTATGGAGGCTCTCCTTCATTCCTCTTGGCTGGTAACCAGTGATGGACTTCTTCTCCGTGACCCTGTCTAAAAGATACCTGGACAGAAGAATATAATCGAGCACCCTCATGTGAAATAAAGAACATTTCTATAAAGATGGTTCCAAAGGGAGGCTTTTTCACACGTGCCAGTTTAATGCACGTGATGCGCAGAAGCCACATGAGTCTTGAAACATCCTTTGCCCATCCATACTAGTCCAAATTCAGTGCTAGCCGATAGCTCGTTCTTATGATTTAGTTACGCTCCCTCTGCACTGCAGAACTGAACCTGTGACAAGACATACATCATTTGTAGCTAGGAAAACACCAGATTTCTTTCTTTCTTTCTTTGATTGCAGTGCTTTGCATTTTATTAATAAGCCGAACTTCCTGTGAAAGTAAATTTTGTGTTCTGATTTGTCTCCTGGTGGGGTATTGTACTGCTTTTACCTGCGTCTCTCCATATTAATGCCTTATATTTCTCAGCCAATCATTGTATGTCAGCCTTTTAGGGAAGTGGGTGATTCAGAACTGGAATCTGGAAGAGTGGTGTCCCAGTGCCCCAGATGGATTTCTTGCTATATTTATCTGCTTAGGGTGCTTCTGTTCTCCCTTTCTCTCTGATAGGACCCTAAGCGGCTCACAAAAATGCCCCCCCCCAAAAAGAATGAACCACCAAAAACAAAGGGAAGAAACAGTTTCCAGGCTGGTCCTACTCAATGACACTGGTTAACAAAAGCACTAGGGCTAATACCCAGGGTGTCAAGTACCTGAAGGAAGAGGAAGACACAACTTATGCTAGATGGAACTCAGCTGCTGCTGTCTTACTGGCAACAAGCAGACAAGATCTTCCTCAGAACCCCCCCCCCCCGCACAGAATATATGAATTCTCTAGGTCTATAAACTACTAGGTGGAGGCAGTTTTTGTTTGGGAGGTGGATTCGCGTCCAGTGGTAAAGTTGAAATACTTTCCCAGCAATTATATTTTAGTAGGTACAAACTCTATGCTAGCCCATTTTGAAATTCATGTTTCTTCGTTTTCTGTGATTTGGTAAGTTTGTATGTGTAGTAATTGCATTTTGCATATTGTGATAAGTTGAAATTTGTGATTAAGGATTTTTCTTTTCTTTGCTTAGAACCTTAATGGCATTTGAAATCATTACTGGAAATTTTGAATATCAACATACATAATAAGTAGGTCTTTAAATCTTTTGAGATTTTTAATAATTACAGCCTATAATATTCTTATTACAATGAGTTTATTTTTAGTCCAGTATTGAAGATAATAGCTGTCCATCTCTGAGGAAGAGAATTAAAACAGAAGACTTATTCGGAATCTTTTTTTAAATTACTTATTTGGAATCTTCATTTGGATCTGGATTTGTGGATTTACACATTTCAGAATTTGTAAACTTGTGAATTTATAATAAGATTTTTATATTAATGAGTGTGGAATTTGTGAATATTGTATATTGTCATTATAAAGAACTTGTGAAAAACAATATATAAGGTTATTTTATTATCTTTATTAGGATCATTTTTCACAATCTTCTTCTTTTTTTACTTATCTGTTTCGACTGTGGATCTTCTCCTAGACTTTGCTGTTACTTTAAGATTATGGTGCAATTATCTAACAGATTTACATTTTCTGAAGAAGAGAAAGATAGAATTCTGTCTAATGTTCCTAACCTTTTGCAGGGTTATACCCATGATGCTTTATAGGGTACTATTAAAGAAGAGAGTAAGGCTGGCTTTGCATGCTTCTTCACTTACTGATTTCTGTCATTCTAGTCAAATACCTTGGGGGTTATACATCCAGAAAGGGCCAGCTATGTTTCTAGACTGCGAAGAATTTCTTAGCAAGTGGATGGCCATCTTGAATAAATGTTCTTATGATCTAATGCTTTTAATTATAGACCAGGCTTCGATGGAGACTGAAAAACATAAAACTGAAATTACAACAGAGGAGGACAAATTAAAAAGCTCTAGGTCCCCTGATTCTTTTGAAGCACATATTAAGGATCTTGAGGAGGAGAAAAAAATGAGAGACATAAAAATTAAACATTAAAGTGACAGCAAGGATTATGAAGAGAATAGGGTTTACAAATTGTGCTCGCCTGGTACGAATGCTCCTATTCTGTACTGGATAGGAAGATGAAAAGCCAAACTAGGGAGAATTTTTTACAGCAGCAACCTACACACAGAGGGAGGAAGAAAGTTTAATTATTAACTTATCCTCTAGGAGCTTTATGGAGGAGGAACAACGCCTTTTAAATCTTGGATTGGGTTTTGTTCCCACCCCTAAATATAATCCCTTTCAAACACAGATTGATTTGTCTAAATTAATTAGATTCTTAAAATTAAGACAACTTTTTGATGATTCAATAAAAACTGATTATAATAAATTTAAACCTAAATCTCAGTTTGTACCCAGTATCAGGGTTCCATCTATACAAGTATTTGAGAGATTGATATTAGAGGACATTGCATATTTGGAGAAGTACAGACCTCATACCAAATATAATCTCTCTAGAGAGGAATCTAATACCATTCAGAATCTGTCCAGTGACAATTATATTGTCATCAAAGAGGCAGATAAAGGTGGGGGAATTGTAATACTAGACAAACATGATTATATAAACGAAGTACTGAGACTTTTTCGGGAGACTGAATTTTATACTCCTATTCCCTATGACCCCACTGATGATATTTTGAGAATTATTAAAATTTTCATAGGGGAAGCTTTGGCACATAATTTTATTGGTGATGCTGAAGCACAATATTTGATTAATTCCTACCCAAGAGTTCCCATCTTCTATATATTACTGAAGGTGCATAAGTTTGGGATGCTACCTCCAGGTCACGCTATAGTTTCAGGCTTTAATTTTGTATTAGAACCTCTATCCAAATACGTGGATTCCTTCCTTCAACCTTTGGTTACTAAGATACAATCATATTTATGAGATACCACAGAATTTATTTCTAATTTTGAGAATTTACCAGTCCCATCTGAAGCCATATTAATGTTATTAGATGTTACATCTTTATATACAAATGTTCCTCACAATGAGGCTCATTTTTGTATTCAAAAAGCTTTGGATCAGAGGGTGCTCCTATCGCCACCCACCCATTTTTTTCTTGATTTGGTTGATTTAATCTTTGAACAGAGTTATTTTCATTTTGAAGAGAATTTTTGTTTACAAATCAAGGGAGTGGTAATGGGTAGTGCCTTTGCCCCGAGTGTGTCCAATTTGTTTATGGCTCATTTGGAACATTGAATTTATTTGTAATGTTACCTTGAACCCTTTCTTTGAAGATCTGTTTTTTTACAGAAGCTTTATCAATGATCTATTCTTGTTATTTAAAGATGGCACAAGATTAGAAGCCTTTGTTGAATGGCTTAATGGGATTCATCGCTCTATTAAGTTTACTTCCCAACATAGCTGGACCCAGATGAACTTTTTAGACACCATGGTCTTTGTTACATCAGAATGTAAATTGGCAGAACATTTACTAAAGTAACTGATAGGAATTCATACTTACATTTCAGATCTTATTGCACTAGACATCTTAGACATAACTTATGGACAATTTTTATGTGTAAAATGAAATTCCACCATGGTGAACATTTTGAACAAGAATGTAAAAGGTTAAGTAGACAATTCATTCATAGGGGATATCCATGTAATTTGATTGAAAGTGCCACTGAACAGGGATGTTCAAAACAATGCCAGAGTTTATTTGAGGAGACCATTCATTTGAGTAAAAGCAATGTTGCCTGTGCCTTTACCTTTACTCCATTGGCTAATCCTATTAAATAGGTAATCTTGAAATATTGGCATACTATTTGGGATATCCCTGGTTGCTCTGAAAAACCTTTTATAGGTTTTAGGAAGACCAAAAGTATAAGAAACACCATAATTAGGTCTGATATGCTGACACGTCCAAGGGGAGAATTAGCAGTGAGTGGTCATTATAAATGTGGGTGGTGTTCCATATGCCCACAGGCATGAGAAACTAAAAAACTTATTTTTTCAGATGTTAACTTTGAAAGTGATCTTACAATGTTCTCAAATTGTCCCACCAATTGGGTTCTTTATTTGATAAAATGTGAATGTCAGCTTCTATACATTGGTATGTCTACACAGTCTATACATATCTGTATAAGTGAACATAAATCAGAAATAAATAGATGGACATGCCCCTTGTCCAACATTTTGTTAATGTAGGTCATAGCTGTGACAACTTTATGTTCCTAATTTTGGAAATGCTAATTACTGACAGATATAATAGGATTGACATCCAAAAGGCATTGAGTCATAGGGAAGCCTTCTGGATATATAGACTTTAAACTTACAGTCCCTATGGTCAATCTTTAGAACTTTCTTGTTTTTTATAACTGATATGGTTCTTTAAAAGTTTTCTGCAACTATGGATGGATTGTCTCTTTAAATTTTTGTTGTGTGTAAATAACATTCCATTATATATATAGAAGATTGTTACTTTTGCTATAGAAGGCTTTACCAACTTTGAAATGATAGAGTTTCTACCTACTAAAATATAATGGTTTTGAAACTCATGTTTCTTCATTTTCTGTGATTTGGTAAGTTTGTATGTGTAATAATTGCATTTTGAATATTGTGATAAGATGAAATTCTGAATATCAACATACATAATAAGTAGGTCTTTAAAATCTTTAAAGATTTTTTATAATTATATCCTATAATATTCTTCTTACAAAGAGTTTTATTTTTAGTCCAGGATCGAAGATAATATCTGTCCAACTCTGAGGAAGGCAACTGAAACAGAAGACTTATCCAGAATCTTCGTTAGGATT